GTGTCTGTGTCTGTGTCTGTGTCTGTGTCTGTGTCTGTGTGTGTGGGTGGCAGGGGGAGTCAAAAGGGACCTAACCTTCTAGATTGAGAAAGAGCAAAGGAGAAGGACAGGACTTTCTGTTTCACTTCCAAGGGATGAACTTCCAGGGAGAGGGAACAGCATACGTCCAAACAGGCATAACTTAGCCTGGAAGCCTAAGTTCTAAAAGTCTAAGAATTACACAGAATTATTCACAATACAACCACTTTGACAGCACCAAATGTCTCTGTTTGTTTCTGTTGTATCACGGTAATCACAATGCCTGATCAAAAATGGGACAAAGATTTGTATGGGCTCATGAGTTCAGAGTTTCTGTGTCATGTTGGGAAAGAATCATTGGTGGGCTCCTTCCACCCAGCTCTGAAGGGACTTCAATGCAAGGAGAAGCTCTCTACTGAGCTCAGCAGTGTTTACTACACTGAGGAAACACACCACTGTCCACTAAGGCAGCGATTTTCAACCCCTGGGTTGTGACCCCTTTAGAGGTTGAATGACCCTGAAGTGAAAATTTCTGGTTGTGTCATGTAATGCAGACTCGTGGTGTTTTGCTGAGGCAAGACCCTTGGGAGGGTACGTGATGTTTGGAGATATTATAGACAGGACTCAACGGACAGTGACAGAGCACTTGCATAGCTAGCCTTATAACACTTTGTTGGTCTTGAGAGAGGCATGGCAGAGAACTCCTGGCATCCTGGTCGTGGTCATTGCTGAGGCCTGGTGGTTTCTGCTGAATTGTGCCACTGCTGCTGATGTGCATTTGATATCCTGACACTACTGCACTGGACTACTGGGATCCTGAGAAAGGAAGATTGGAGGTGCCCTGAAGAACTACTTCTGAACAGATCCATATCCCCTTGCCCTATTTACAAGAAAAGATGGCACATCTTTTCTCCCCTATCTTTGGGCTAGAAGTGGGGTCAAAGTGTTTGAGAACCCTTATTAAAAGTAGATTAAAAAATGTAAACCTATATGACCCTTTCACAGGGGTCAAATATCAGATATCCTCCGTATCAGATATTTGCATCATGATTCATAACAGTAACAAAATTACAGTTATGAAGTAGCAAAGGAAATAATTTTTTTAGTTGGGAGTCACCACAGCGTGAGGAACTGTATTAAATGTTGCAGCATTAGGAAGGTTGAGAGCCACTGTGTTAAGGCTAGCCAGCCCAACTGTCTCTCAACTGTCTCTCAAGCACATCCAAGGAGCCCCAGAATCCTCACAAAAACTGCAGACAATGTTTGCCTTGCTACCTGACAAAAGAACCAAAGAATTGTAAAAGAGCCTTTTCCCTTATTGTCAAAAAGTCAAGGAAATTCCTTCATAACCACACCACTCCATTGGGTCACCTTGAAGAAGAGTCTGGACAGAGGGAAGCCAGATGTGCTGAGGATTTCTCTTAAAGAAAGTGAGCAGGAAGTTTATAGCCACTGCTCCCTGCTCTGACTCCCAGGAGGGTGGGGAACAGTGAGAAAGCTTACATGGGTAATAGAAAATAAGGCATCTTTGGGAGGCTGTGCACATAGCACCGGGAAAATGCATTATTAAAGGAGTTTGGTGCCTATTCATTATTGCAAGTGCTTTACAGTCAGTGAAACCTTGTTTGGGCATTCAATTTTTGAAATTTGATTTTCAAAAAAGGCCACCAGTGTCGTTCCATTGCAAATATTTGGCCACGGAAACCATGTAGCACTACTCATAGGGCTTCCGGAGTTTCTAAAGCAAAATAATGCCTAACATTTCACTGCAGTGCACCTACAATAAAAAGGAGAGAACTGGGGATAAATTAGAGAAGGAAGACCAAATGATCAAGAAAGCTGACTGCTTGACACAAGAGCTGCTGTCGATACAGTCACCACATGGGCTTTGACATAAGGAAAAGAGCTTGAGAAAGGTGGGAACTTGGGTGTTCTCTGACCATAGATAACATTTGTTTCCCCAAAGAAATAAGAGAAGTGAGAACTACCTTACTCATGCCTTTATCTGCAGCATTTTCTAGACTTCTTGGGCACAGTATATGCTCAGTTAATATTACTGAATGAAGGCAAAGCTATAAATAAACTGTACAACACCAGAGTAGATAGACTAAGAAGTTTTTAGAGCGCCTGTAAGCTAGTCACAGGCCAGTAGGGGAATCTGGTTTGAAAGTGGAAGTTCCCATTGTTGCCCCATGCCTGCCATTCATCCTGAAGAAGGTAAACAGGACTGGGGTGTGGTACTTCACTATTATGAGGGGCATGTGTACTCTCGCTCATGCTTGTCTGTCAAGGATGCTATTCCTAGGTCAGAGATAACTTGCTGAAGGCTACCATCTTCCTGCATAACCAGGCAGGGCACCTTAAAGAGAAGCATTGTGAGGATTGTGTCTCAGCACAGATAAAATATATTACTAAAAGAGTTAAGGTGGACATTACCAGGTGTGAATATTGAAATTGCTTTGACATTTGATTTTTTAAATACCAGCACGCTGAAAGAAAAAAATGAAAACCACTAGAGTTAGTTGCTTTGTTGTAAATACTTAGAAATAAAAACCATGTAGCACTAACATTAAACTAACATTGAGCTTGAAAAGCAAACCCCTCTTCAGAGCGACAGAACACTGCTGTAGGAGGTGGGAAGGCAGGATTTTAACTCCTCATGTCTAAGTCTCCTGTACTCAGTAGAAACTACAGCCATGGAGGAGAGACCTTAAGTCATCAAGCTGAACATCAGGGGTCTGGAGGCAGAACTAAGCCAGGGAGAAAATGGTCTAGGGTGGAGAAGCCTCAGGGACTGGCACTGTGGAGGAAGGCTGGAAGACTCACTTCACTGTAGGTAGGACACCGCAGAGGAGGACTCTGTTGGAGCTAAGGCAGGGCCTTCCTGATCCATGCTGTAGAGTCATAAGGCTTTGCTGTAACATAGCCCATGTTTGCAAACACCCAAAGGCTGGTCCTGAGTTGACCTTTTGCATTCTTTCCCAAAACAAAACTTCCCCCATTCCTGTTAGCCTTTCAGGTAACAGCTCACTGTAAGAGTATGAATGAGTCTTTAGAAGACTGAAATCAGGAGAGAATGAGTTCAGATTCCTCACAAGGGATCACCTGATACTGGCCTTTCATAGACCGCCCAAGTCTATTCTAAACTTCCCTTACATGACGACTACTGGTCTCAATTCTCGGGGCAGGAAAAAGTTGTTATATGGAGTACATACACTTTAGCACTGACATTATTAGTGACCAGGATCATTGGTTTACAGAATCTGCACTTGTGACAGACATGTCAATTACCCTAATTTGCTCATCAAGATAATTAATTACATAATAACTAATTAGGTAGCACTTTCAACCTGTCAGGAGCAGCCGTAAATGCCAGATGCAACTTGGTGGTCTTCCTCTTTATCTTCTAAAGATAAATGGAGAGATATGGCATATATACAGCCAACTAAAGGGCTGGTAACAGGGTCAATATTGTCAGTGATTGTTGGGAAAGAGCATTGGGTAGACCAGCTTGCAGTGTCGAGAGCCTTGAGGGTCACATATAATTATAAGCTACAGGTAGCAGCCAAGGTCTCAAGTTTGAAGACAACTCTCATGCCCAGGGTTATTTGTCTTGGACCTATCATTACCTTTTCTAAGATAACTTTCATAATGGTGTTTGGATAATTTGTGTAAAGTTATAAATGCCCGATGGGCAATGTCATAGTTTAGGCTACCTTGGTTATTCCCCAACATGCATTTGCCTTCCCATTCTGACAACTTTGCAGCTGACTGTGATGAATGAAATGAAGCCAAAACCATGGTTTTCAGCAGAAAGTGGAGGGGTGACCTAACTCTTAAGTTAAGATCCAGGGTATTTGCTCCTTGATTGGAATGCACATTCTTAAACAGAAATCCACACTTGTCAGGAAGTGCCACCATACACTCGCTTCTATTTGGCATTTGCTAATATTTTAACTTCATATTTGCTTAAAATCCATGATACCAATGTTCTCAAAGCTCTGCTCCATATGGAATGTCAGCAGATTCCAGTAGGAACCAGGAGAGAGAGAGAGAGGATCGTGATGAAGTAGATTTCCTCACTCCAGAGTGAAATACACCGGAAAACACAGTAAATCTATATTTTTCTCCCCCATTCCTTTCTTCCCTCTTTCCCTCCCTCCCTCCCTTTTCTCCTACCTCCTTTCTTTCCTTCTTTATTTCCTAGGAAGAGAATGTTTTACTCCCATATTTATTGTGGAACTCTGTAAACCAGGTTGCCTTCAAACTTCCAGCAACTCTCCTGTCCTGACTCCTAAGTGCTAGAATAGCACCCCTGCACAATCAAACCACAGCAGACTACTAATTAATAAATTTGTTAAAAAACACCATATTTTCTCAAAATATTAAACTGTAATTCTATTCCACCTGCATTGACACCCAGAGACATGATTTAGTGGATGATAGAGTCAACCTAGTATTTAGTTAAATGAAAAGGCCTCAGGAAACCAGCTTTGTTTAATCAGACCTTCTGTATGAGCTCAGATGGGCAAAGTTCAGACAGAGGAACTTCTCTGAGGTCCTGATGTTGGATGTTCTCCTAACTAGTAATCACAAAGAACAACAGCAAAAAAAAAAAAAAAAAAAAAAAAAAAAAAAAAAAAAAAAAAAAAAATTGGCAAGTAGTGGGACAGAATGGGAAAACGAAACATTTGGGAACTGAAAGTTCTCACGAGTACTGGGCACATTTTTGATGAGGTTAGCATAGAAGCTGAAAGCAGGCTTGTGTTCATGTACAGTTGTCTCAGAGCAAATAAGGCTGGGTGTCACACCTGCCCTGCATTGGGACCAAGGTCACATGCCATAGACAGATGCTAGGATCAATGTTAACAAGCTAACCAACCTGGTCAAAGAGAAAGGATGCCACACCTTCCAAGGGAGCCTATCTTCTTGGAGAATGATTCTCTGAAAGCTGGGCTGAGTACAAAAGGCCATCCAGGGACCAGGTTTTGACATTGTCAGGGGAGTCCAAAATACTCAGGGAAGATTTTAGAGAAAATTTCAGAAGGAAAGCTAAGTTAGAAGGGAAGGTGGTATTCTGACTTGAAGCTGCATCACTGTGATTGGCTCTGTCATTTAACAGCAGGCCCTAATATTACCTTTTCCTGCTATCTGCTCACTGCAGAGTATGGCTTCCATTTTGCCTGCTTCTAATAGATCCATGAGACCTGACAAGAATACATATGAGAGGTGAGTAATTTTAATCTTTATTGTTTCAGTCCGATGGGTGTCCCTTGGATTTTATTTTAAATGTTCAGAGGATATAACCCCTACAAAGTGTTACACATCTTTTAATATTGGGCATTAAATAATTGGATTTATGTATTCCAATACTGTTCATAATAGAAATCCACAGAAAACAAGAGCACTGAAAAAATTTCATTCTTTGGTTCTTGTGGAGTTGGCAAGCTGGTTCATTTAAGAACACAGAGCAGAGGCTAGTAGACAGAAGTGCTTCCTGAACAATCCTGACCACCTGAGTTAACTCACCAGAACCCAGAGAAAGATGGAAAGAAGGAATGGACTTCACAAAATTGTCCTCTGACCTCCACATGTTCATCCTGGCATGTTCACTTGCACACAATTTTATAAGAGAACACGATAAAATACACATTGTAATAATAAAGGAAAAGGGGTAGAGACAAAGAAACTAGGTCAAAAGAATTTACAAAAAGCATGAGAATTTTAACCAAGTCACAGGAGCAGACAAATTCAAAGTACAGCCTGGAATTCACAGTAGAGTTCAGTGCTTAATTCCAAGACCATGGGCTGTACCTGAGAAATAATGAAAGGGCCCTGTGGTGCCCACAGCACTTTAACTGTGTTGAATGTGTCATGGGGTAATTTCATATGCTTTGTGATAGACAGACTTGACATAGAATCGACTTCTGAAATACCATGGATGTTATTCATCTCAAAGGCATAAATCTGCCCAAGCTCCCTGCAAATTAAACTCTAATTTCTGCCTCCGGTTAACAGAATGTAATAGAGCATTAGTCTTCATGAGGTTTAAGGATTTTTTATAAATTCCTTCTGATTCACTGAGAATTATGGGAAATGTCTTGCCATGACGTCAGTGTATTGTCAGTGCTCCACTCCCAGGTTCAGACAGACAACCCCACCACCACCACCACCAGTCACCTTCTTTCCTTCAGAGAAGCCAAGAAGAGATGAAGATATATGCATGTGAACACAAAGGAATATAGAAAACCTCCCAGCTAGCACTTTTCTTTGGTGACAAATATTTAGAGCATGGGTTAGGAAAAAAGAATAAAATTAGGCTTAAAATTGGAATGGAGAGATGGCTCAGCGGTTAAGAGAACTGACTGCGTTCCAGAGGTCCTGGGTTCAATTCCCAGCAACAACCATCTATAATGGGATCTGATGCCCTCTTCTGGTGCATCTGAAGACAGCTACAGTGCACTCATATAATACACAAATAATTCTTTAAAAAAAAAGATTTGTGGAGGAAACAAAATGTGTGAGTGTATTTAGTGGTAGATGAAGACTTTTAGAAGGTGTTGGAAGAGCTAGGTTCACACTGGTCTGAATTTGACATGAAGTCTCAGGCAAGCCTTCCCTCAAAGACTTTTAAAATGTTAATTTATTTGTTGTTAGTTGAAAGTGATCATTGACCCTGTATTTATGAGACGCGATGTGTTGGTGGGATTTTGTTTGTGTGTTTGCTTGGTTAGTTGGTTGGTTTATAGTGTTCGGGACTGAACCCAAGGGTTCATGCATGCTAGATCTATCACTGATCTGTATTCTAAGCCCATATTGATCAAGCTAGTATATCCCATCACCTCAACAATATCTCATTGTTTGGTGGTAAAAATGTTCAAAATCTATTTTAAAGCAAGTTGGAGGTATATGTGTATCACCTGTGGTTACCAGACAAGGCGGTCTAGATCATTCACTGAAGGTAAAGATCCTTCAGTGAAACTGCTCCCTTTGACCATCTCTTCCCCACACCTTCCTGGTCCCCAGCCTTTGATATCCACTGCTCTTCTCTCTGTTTCAGTCAGAACAACAGCTTTTAGAGTCCACACAAAGGAGAAGTGGCAGAGTGTTTGTCTCTCTGGGATGCTGTTATCCTTAGCATAATTCGAGTTCTGTCCACATCACAAATGACAACATTCTTTGTCATAAAAGCTGAGAGGCTAGTGAGATGGCTCAGTGGGTAAACACTTGTCACTAAGCCAGGTGACCTGAGTTGGGTCCCCAAGAGCCACATCATAGAAAGAGAGAAACGACTCCCACAAGCTGTCCTTTGTCTTCTACATATATGCTGTCATGCGTGCACGTTCCCACCCATACCCACAAATAACTAACTGTAATAAAGTCGAAATAGTATTCCATTTTGAATATATATTAATAAACATATGTTTATAATATATACAAAATGCAAGTAAATATATATCACTATTATATGTAATGTTATTATCAACATGAGAGTGCAGATATCACACTGACATACCAGTTTCAATTTTTTTAAAAAAGATTTATTTATTTTTATGCCTATGAGTCCTCTTTCTGAATGTACACCTGCATGCCAGAGAAGGGCATCAGACCACATTACAGATGGTTGTGAACTACCATGTGTTTGCTGGGAATTGAATTCAGAACCTCTAGAAGCCTGCCAGTGCCCTTAACCTCTGAGCCATCTCTCCAACCATCCCCCCATCTCAATTATTTTGAATACATAACCAAAAGTGAAATTTCTGAACCATATGATAGTTCTATTTTAGTCCCCTCCCCAATACTTTCTCAGACTAGTTATATTAATTTACACTTCCACCAGTAGTATATAAAGTTTCTCTTGTTTCTAGCCCTCATCAATATCTGTTGTCACTGGCCTTTGGAAATACTAATTCTAACAGGTGTGAAGAGATATCTCATTGTGTTTTTAATTTTTATTTCCCTAATAATTAGTGATATTGAACAATTTAAAATATACTTGTGGGACATTTGAATCTTTGAGGACATCTTTTCTAATCTTTAGGCTGTACTCAACCATATTCTACTTCTTTCCTATTAAGTTATTTAACTTGGATAATAGACTCCTGTCAGATGTGTAGTTTGCAAATACTTTCTCCCAGTTGATGGATTGTCTCTTCATCCTATGGGTTTAGTTAGATACAATTCCATTTGTTTGTTTGTCTTTTCTTGTGGAGTCGGACCTGAGCGACCACTTTCCAAACAAATATGGTGGAATTTTCCCCTATGTTCTTACGTGACACAGCTTCAGGGTTTACATGTGCAGCTGATGTCTATTCTGAGTTGACATTTGGACATAGTCCAAGTCCAGGTTCAATTTCTTTCTTTTGCTGGTGGAGATCAAATTTTCTCAACACCATTTATTGGAAAGCTTTTCCTTTCTTCATTGTGTGTTTTTGGCAGCTTTGTCAAATACCAGCTGTCCATTTATAACTGGGTCTATTTCTGGATCTTCTATCTTATTTTTTTCATTGATGTTTCAGTGCCACACTGTTTTGATTACAGTCATGTGTGGGTTTTCGTTTGTTTATTTGCTTGCTTGTTTGCTTGTTTGCTTTTAGACAGTATTCTACTGTTTACCATAGGCTGACTTAAAACCTTCTATATAGCTTAAACTGGCCTTGAATTTGGGATTATTTTGTCTCAGCATCACTAATTAGCCATCAGACATCAAGGAAATCTCAAGAATATCTCCAAAGCGTGTTAAGAGATTATTATATCAAATATAATTCAGAAGAATGTAACTAATGACTATGTTGGTTTGAGATTTTCTTCTTGAACACAGAAAAGGTGAACATCAGTACTTTTAGACACTTTAAGGCACAGGTATCCTTGTCCGATTGAATCAGAAATCCAGAGAAGGGATTGAGATGTTCTTTAAAGTTCATCTAGTGATTTCACTGTGTGGCTAGAGCTTAGTTCTATATTATAGGTACAGAGTGCCACAGATTTTATATTTCCATTCCCTATAATAGTTTTGTATTTCCATTCAAGGCCTATGATGTCTCTAACTTTGTTATTTTAAAGACATTAAGTTAAACACACACATACACATGCATGCACACACACACATACACATGCACATATGCATACACACATGCACATGTGTATATACACCCACATGTGCATACACACACACACAACCAAACTCTATTAGAACTGATAAATTCAGTAAAGTTGTAAGTTATAAACTCAGCAAACAAAGATGAATATTTTTATATACTAACAAGAAATTTACCTGAAAAGGAACTTAATCAAACAATCCCAGTTAAACAGAATAATACCATTTCCTGAAAACCACAGAATACTGGTGAAAGAGTTTTGAGACATCATGAAGACATAAACAGGTGAAAGGATAACTCATGTTTGTTGTCAGAGAGACTAGTAAACTGTCCATACCACCCAACGTGGCCTGCGGATTCAACACAATTCCAATTAAGAGTCTAATGCCGGTCTTCACAGAAATAGAACAACCCTAAAATCTGTGGAACCAGAAAAGATTTCAAATGGTCAAAACACCTTCTCTGGTCACTGACAGAATGATCACCTTAGCAGTGCTTTTTCATGGACCAGTGGGACAAGACTCTCTGTCAACATCAGATTCTAGCTTTAAAGTTGCCCCAACAATTAAAGAATCGTTGGAGATGAATGAGTATGCTTCTTAGTACAGTTTGTAGATTCAGTTGGAAACCCAAAGGAAAATCTTCAGATTATGAAATCAGCTTTGGCAGAATGAAATCAAAAGTTAAATTGAATTTGGAGGAGGAAGTGACTGGCAGTGTTTCCAGAACTTTAATGTGCGTATGAATCACTAGGGTTTATTAAAATGCAGGTTCTGATTCAATGGTTCTGGGGTGGAAACGTGGTTTGCCTTTCTAACCAGCTTCCTGAGCTGGGCTCTGAGGCCCGGAAGCTTCATTCAGCACTCTGTATAAGGGCTGTGGGGAAACGCTGACTCACTCTTCCCAGCCACAGGAAGGAGGAATCTGCTTTAGGATGCAGGGGCTTCTTCTGAAGTAGTGACAGTACAGCAACATTATGGAGAACTGTCTGTTCTTCCTTCCTTCCTTCCTTTCCTTCCTTCCTTCCTTCCTTCCTTCTTTCCTTCCTTTTTCCCTCCCTCCCTTCCTCTCACCCTCCCTCTCTCCCTCCCTCCCTCCCTCCCTCCCTCCCTCCCTCTCCCCTCTTGCTCTTTCTTTTCTTCTTCTTTCTTTCTTTCTTTCTTTCTTTCTTTCTTTCTTTCTCTCCTTCAAGTGCAGTATGACTCACCAACTAATTAAGAACCTGTTACTTATAATGTTTTTAAGGAGAAAAAAAAACTAATAGTATTTTGTTCTACTCTCTGAACAGCTTAATTTAGGTTAAATAGGATTTGTTAAGTCTTAGCGATTAAAGAAAGACACGTTAGACAGCCCGAATCAAGGAATTTACAGTCTTTTTGAGGAGACAGAAAGTTAACTCCATTTTAATAGCATCAGCACAACATAGATGCTTTAGGAACAACAGTGAGGGGAGATATTGATTAGGGATAAAGAAAGACTGCTTAGAAAACTCTCCTGGAAGATGTGATGTTTGAGTGGGACTTAAGGAATGAGTCGCATTTTATTAGGAAAAGATGGAAGGGAGCTGGAAAGAGAAGTTCGTGAGGAAAGGCTTATTGCAGGAGCTCCCAGCATCAGCAGCAGGTTTGATGGTAATATTTAAAAAAATACTCTCTGGGCATCCAATTGATTTTGGTCCGGCCACCAATGTTTTTCCTTTGAATCCCCTTGGTGGTTTTTAAGGCACATTCCGAATCAGATGCGAGTCTCTGGAGATGTATAAGGTCATGAGGCTAGTTGAAATGGTTTTCAGTATTTAGAAGGAAGTAGGAAAAACAAAGAATTTCTCAATGACTCTTAGTAAGAGGTCTTGACCACTGTAGTTTGGGACAGATAGTTTATTATCACTGATTCCCAGAGGAGTATATTAAGGTAAACAAAGTAAGCGAAGGCTGTCAAGAGTGTGCTTTGTAAGTATAAAGCAGATGGAATTAAGGGCCCACGTGTAGGGCCAGTTGATTACCTCGTATCACATGGATTTGCCAAATGAGAAAGGAAGGACTGGTGATCCAGCTAGGACTGCTGTGACGGGGGCTGGGGCAGTGGCCTTAGGTAGAAAGGAAGCATGACGGGTAAGTTCTCAAAGGCACCAATGCTCAAAGTGTTTCCATAAACCAGTGTTGTAAGAATGTACACACGCATGCACACACATGCATACGCGTGCACACACACAGAGACAGACAGACACACACACACACAGAGACAGACAGACAGACAGACACACACACAGAGACAGACACATACACACATATACACACAGAGAGAGAGAGAGAGAGAGAGAGAGAGAGAGAGAGAGAGAGAGAAGAGACAAGAGACAGAGAAGCACAAGTAAATCTAGGTTTCTAAAAGAAGAGTTATCCCGGCAATTCTTTGTGGTTGATTTAAGAAATCCTGGCATACGGAAGCGAACACAGGACTCATATGTTGTTAACATAGATAGGCCCAGACCCAGACCAGGAAAGTTGAGAAGGAAGCCAAGAAGTGTGTGGAGAAGAGACATGGTGCTGAGAGATGCCTCCTCAGCGGAGCATGTGGGACAAGTCTATTGAAGCATAGAGCTGCTCCCTTGGGAAGGACACAGTCAGGAAAGGAGCAGGGCTCTGTCAGCCATGCAAAGGGGTGCTGTGTTCAGGCCTTGAGTGTGTTGCTGGCTCCAGGATGCAGGACTAAGTGTGAAGCCACTGAAACATCCTGGGTAATGGAGCGATGGGCTGATGCCAAGCGAAGCCTCTAGGCCTCCCACCCTTTTTCTCTCTCTGGGGCAAGTTTGTTTTTCCACTGTGTTCTCTGTCCCACACTCTTCTAATGTCAGTAAAACAATGCTACTGGACATCTCCTACATTAAAGGACCTTTCTTTAAAAGAAAACAAAACAAAAGGCTTTTTGTTTGCTTGTTGTTTGTTTTTTTTCTTTTTGAGACATGTTTTCACTATGTGGCCTTGGTTGGATTGGAACTCCACAGTCCAGACCAGGCTGGCCTCAAATTCACAGGTAGCAGCCTGCCTCTGCCTCCTGCATGCTGGGATTAAAGGCATGCATCACTATGCTCGGTTAAAGGATTCATTTTCTCTCACTTCTGTTTCTAAGTTCCATATTTCTTAAAACAATAGTTTTGAATTTTGTTTTATGTGTTTATTAAGATTAAATCCCTTCTCCTCCCCCCTCCCCCCACTTTCTTCAAGCTCCTTAGGCATGCTTCTTCAGGTTTCATCTTAAGCATTGGTTTTCTTGGTTAGCTAACTCTTGTTTCTCCAGCCTGTACCTAGTCCTCCTTCCTTTGTCTCTGATGTACCCCAACTCACATTCCTCAGGAGCCTGTTGATCTCTCTGCACCCAGCTCTCCATCCTTTGAGGTCCCCCCCCAAGCTTAAACCTTTTAATGGAACGGGGATCACTTCCAACCTCTCTGACCACAGCTAGCAATCTCTCAAGTGATCAGACACCAATACTGTCTGAGCTCAGTGGCTTCTTGCTCTAAACCATGGGTGAAGAGGGTGTGGGAGTGCGTGTGAATGTGTGTGTGTTGCTGAGTGTCAAGTATGAAGGTAAGTGCTTTATCAATATATATCCCAATGCCTCATAATTACCATGAAATTCAGGGCTCACAAACTTGCCTAGTGGCAGTTTTCACCATTCGTACTTCGCAGATGAGGAAACAGAAGTTAGCTTGCTCATTCTTGTACAGTAAGTGTGTGCCTAGTTGATCAGTCACTAGGACAAAGGTGGTCTGAGAGCCATGCCTCTAAATTATGTAGCCTCACAGTGAAAGAATGACAGTTAGAGTCAGAGCGAACTGAGGAGAGATGACTGAAGATGTCCTGATTGCGTGTGAGTGCTCAACTTCTAATAGCCCTGGATCTTCATTTGTAACTTGGATTATAAATATTACTCATCTAATAGAATGGTTACAGTATTAAATGAGTTAATGTATCTATTTCATCAGTTTCCTGGTATGATATAGTTTCCATGCTTAGGTCTAAGTGTGGTATATAGTATGTAGTAATTGTAAAGCAAATGTTAGACATATTATACCAGATTCAGTTACCAGAGGTTTGTGTACAGTTGCTGTGTTAGTGGTGATCATAGGTGTAGACTGTTATCCTGTCTCAGGAATGCTTTCTCTCTAAATATCTTGACATCTTCATTGTGGTTTTCCCTAGGAAAAGGTCTGTGTATGTTAAGAATCCATACCTGGATGCCATGGATGAAGACATTCTCTATCACTTGGATTTAGGAACCAAAACACACAACCTACCAGCAATGTTTGGAGATGTAAAGGTAAAAATATTTTGAATGTCAGAAAATTTGCTGCATGTCTCCTGTCATTTTTTTCTATTTTTTTCTCCAAAATAAACTTCATACCCTTGGGTAGAGACAGGTCAGAAGTCCCAAGAGCAAATGAAGCCACTCTAATTTGGAATGTGAACATCATGAATGGTCATTTCCACCCTGAGAAGATACAAAGGTTTCCAAACTAAATCCAATGCAAACATGATTACTTTGCTGCTCCATACCCTGGAGATAAATATAATTTTATTGACAATACTGTTGGGTATTCAGCATTCATTACGTCTTAACAGATTCTGCTCACAGCTTAACCTTTTATTGCTGAACCTCACTAATTCTCATCTTATTAAATCATAAAAGAATCCGAGACTAACAACGCCTTATTATTCTCTTCTCAGAAAATGACCATTTGCCCATATTTTGTATCATTAAGATTTTATTATCTTATAAGAAATATTTCATGAGAAAAATTGTTTATGGAATAATAACTGGAGAATTGCATTACTGTTATTTATTTTATCATATACAACAATTATAAAAGCAATTCTTTCTCCTTATTTAAAATTAGGAAAACATAGACAAAAACATTCTGCTTTTATACAATACCTTATAGCTCTAATTCCTAGACCAAGACACCATGAACCCACTTTCTTTCCTTCCATTTCATTTATTCATTTTTTTGCTACTGGTATATATCCATTGTACTTGGTACTAGGTTACATAAAGACATTTTCTTACAAGCACATAGAGGTCTTTGAGCATATTAACCCCATACACCCTCTTCCACTCTTTTTAATAAAAAATATTAAAATGCTTATAATAAGACTAAGGGTATAGCTCAGCATAGACTGGTAGAGTGGTGAGAGCCTGTATCCACACAACTTGGGAAGTTGAAGCAGGAGGATCAGAAATTCACATTCAAGATCATCTTTGGTTGCATAACAAGTTCAGAGCCAGCCTGGATAAGTGAGACTCTATCTTTAAAAAAAAAATAATTTTAATGACGCAACTTACCACCCTATATATTTCTATTTAACATTATGTTATTATTATTTTCCCATATTATTCCATTTTGTTTGAAATTCATTGTTCATGGGATCAAGAATTACATAAACGATTTTAAACTTTTGTGCTAAATATTTCTCATTAGAAACAGGACTCAGGTAGATATTGTTTCTTGTAAGGACTTTTCTTATGCAAGTGTATTAGTATAGGATGAATCACAGACATGGTAAAAGGGAATAATCTCACAGAAGTCAAAGGAAGTTAAAGTTACACCAGAGTGACAGAGCTGGTACTTAGCCCAAGTTCCCAGGGCTCGTTCTCATTGTTACAGGTAGATCCTGAGTTATTGTAAGTCTCAATTCTCCAAACATTAACTGGGAGGAATGTGAAGAAAGAGGATAAAGAGGATGAGTTTAGTCAGAGGAAGAAAGGAGTGAGGAAGAAGAGGAGGAAGTAGGGAAGCAAGCACATCCAGGGTGCCCATTGTCAGTCTATGTGTGCGCAACTGCCTCCTCCCTCCAGCACTAAAGGAGAGAAGATGAGTGTGGGTGGGTTTCCAGGCAGCAGCACAGCTTGTGCCCCAATTCCACACTGCAGCTCCCTGCCTTTGTACAGGCTACCTTCTTTTCCTGCATCATCTTTTGGATGTAATCTCTGTCTCTTCTACTGAGCCTGATGTTTAGGTTCCAGGAATCTTTGATCGAGTCAATGTTGACACTCATTACTGGATTGTACCTGAATTCAGATGTTTGGTGTGAGGTCCATGCCTCGCAGTGATTTCCCCAAGACCTTTATCTAAGGATTCCTGTTTGGAATAGAAGGACTGCCATAATTAACAAATGAAGGTACACAATACCCAGTACATTAAGAAAATAGGAGATGTTTTCATACAGACTGGCCTATTATCTACATGTCTAAGTATCTACCTCTACTCTACAATGCATGGACTGTCTTCTTTGTATCTGATCCCAAACCAGTCCCCACCATGTAGCAGGACTCCTTCCTTTCTTATACCCATATTCCTGTAATCAAAGCACATGGGAGGTATAGGCAAAAGGGTATAAAAGAGGAACTAGGGATCAATGTATGTGTGGTGTTAAAACACACCTGTTATATTTACCTATCTGTAGGAGCCACAGCCAGTAAGTGGGAAAGCTGCGATTAAACCCTAGGTTTCCCTGATGATATCATGGTATGATAAGACCATGTCATGAGCACATATGGTCTTGCTCCTGTTACATCATAAGTTGGAGCCTCATGTTCTTACTTCTCTACCTGGCTGGATTTCTACCAGAATGTTTGCCACACTGTTTCTCAGAACTGCTATCCAATCTCAGAACCACTGTCACCCACCAGGACAGTCACTTGAATAACACACATGTGCCATTTCAAAGAGTTTTGTCCCTGAGAGCAACCCTACTTGTAGTCCCATTTTGATGGATAGGAGGCAAAAGTTTGTTTAATTTTAGGATCAAGAAAGACTTATAATCATAATGGAAATAGAATGTTGGGAACAGAAGATAAAAAGCCAGTTGTACTATTATAGATTCTGTTCTCAGAAGTATAACTTTGCCTAGCGCTCTTTTATCTCAGAGGGAGAGCATTGTAGATTTGATTTCTTCCTTAAGTCTCAGATCAGCAATTCTGACTACAAAGCACAGGACACAACCTACTAATACCTAAAAATTCACCTCTGCCCCACAAATGATGGTGATAACTATTATCAGTACTAACTTCAAAAGGAGAGAAAATGGTAAGACATACAGTTGAAACCTGAAAGAGACAGGTATAGTGGTGAATGCTTGCAACCAAAGCACATGGGAGGTGTCTCATGAGGGTCAGGGGTTCATGCCTGGCTTTCACTACATAATAAGTCCAAGACCAGCCCGGATTACATGGACCTGTCTTAAACAGACAAATGCCCAGAAGAACAAATCTGACTGACTCTGGCTATTACCCTTACTCCTTCATAGTTTTCTTATATTTTTTATTTTTCTTTTTTATTGGATATTTTGTTTATTTACATTTTGGATGTCATCCCCTTTCCCCCTTTCCCCTCCCTAGAAACCCCCTATCCCATCCCCTTTCTCCTTTTTGCTTTTATACCATTTTAATTGCATGCAAGTATTAAGGTCAGTTCTAGGTTGAAGGTCTAGCAATACAATAGATGCAAATAGTCAAGGAACAAGCAAGACAATAAACAAAATTCCATGGACACTCCTATGATCACTGTTTCTAAGATCTTACCAGGATGAACAAAATATCTGAGCCTACTTCCCTGTCCTAGCCCATTTTCATGTCTGAAGCTTACTTCCTTGTTCTAGCCTAAGATTTAGATTCCTGCCTGAAACTTCTTTGTTCTAGCCTAATGTCAGTTTCCTGCCTAAAGCCCACTTCCTTGTCCTTGGCCAAGGTCCTATTCCTGCCAAGCAGTCTATTTCCTTGTCCTTGGCCCATGTCAGATTCTTGCCAAGCAGTCCCAAAGGCTCTCTGCCTCTCCCCCTTTTTTATTTCATAAACAATATTGAGCCTGTCTTAGGTCATTCTGACTTGAACGCCTTCTTTACCCATCATGGAATACACATTATCAAAAGCAATGCAATTCTGTCTTAGGTTCATAAGGCTCTGTGCAGAATCTTACCTGTCCTTGGCTTGCCAGCCTGTTTATTTAATAACTCTGTCTGGGGGTCCATTTTCAGTTTCAAGCCATGTACTTTGGCTGCCAACATGTTTATGTTGTTAAAGACAAGCTTTAACATGATGGGCAGGAATAAAAGTATTCCCAGGACAAAAAGGGCTGGAATGATCAAGCTATATATATCATTCTTGAAGCTTGACCAAAATAGAAATATGACCTCAGGCTATGGGTAATATTTTGAAGGATTCTTCTGCTTGGTACTACATAGTTTCTGTGGCTTAGTACAATTTAGTTGACCTTTAGTTCATAACAAGTATAAAGCAGGTGTACCTAGCTGATGGCTGGCCAGAAGAAGTAGAGGTCCAGAGACCTGGTCCTCTTGCATCCTCCTGTTTATAGATGATATACATGTACAATATAGCCTCCTGTGGGATAGGGATGGGGTACATCTGTGAACCAGGCTGGAAGTGGACCATTTTACTTCTGCTCATATTCTAGTGGCTGGAACTCTGGCATATGACTTTTTTCTACCTGGAAAAGAGCCTGGGAAGTTAGCATTACCTTAGACCCAGAAAGAAGAGGAAATGGTCTTGGCACAACTCATCAGTTTCTGCCATACTCAGAGGAGATGAAAACAATTGAAAAATATGATAGAGGTGCTAGAAAGATGTTTTTCAAATTCAATATCCAAATATATATTTTGTCATGTTGTCCCAGATGCATTTTGTAAAATCACTAACTGTTGCCATCTGCTTCATCCAAGCAATTATTTTAATTTTATTGAGATTATAGTACAATTACATTTCTCTCTTAATTTTCCTCTCTCCAAACCTTCCCATATATTCCTCCTTTCTTTTCTTCAAATTCATGGCTTCTTTTTCACTAATTGTTACTGCATGCATATGTGTATATACATATATAATCTTAATCTGGTTCAGTCCATATGATGTTGCTTGTATGTATGTTTTCAGGGCTGAGTATTTGGCACTGGCCACCCAATTGGTGTACTCTCCCCTGAAGAAGAACACTTCTACTCCTCCCAGCTTTCTTTGGTTGCTCTCTCTCTCTCTCTCTCTCTCTCTCTCTCTCTCTCTCTCTCTGTGTGTGTGTGTGTGTGTGTGTGTGTGTGTGTGTGTAGAACTGAGGTCTCATGTGCTTTTTGTCATCTAGTTTTGCATGTCCATTGGTGCTGCTCTTGTTGAGCTTACATTTGGGTAGTTCTGTTGGTGAGATTTTATGAGTGCAGCTTCTGATATTACTAGGTGATATAGTCTCCCAACAAACTCCCTGGTCCTCTGGCTCTTACTATCTTCCTCTCTCCTCTTACACAATGTTCCCTGATCTTTAGGTGTAGGGATGCTTTGTAGTTGTATCCACTGAGACTGGGTTCTACAACATTGAATTTTGACTAGTTGTGGTTTTCTACATTGGTCTCTATTGGTCTGTATTGTGTTTCTTGATGGAGTTCAGGGTAAGAATTACACTTACCCATGAGTATAAGAACAAATGTTTGCAGATTGTTGTTAGGTATTATGCTGGTTTAGTAAATTAGTGGTTGTAGATTCTCCTCCAATAACCATGGCTTTCCTAGTTATGAGCAGTTAGCTAGGTTTCCAGTCTCATGAATGTTTTTACTCTTGTTGAATGGGACTTAAGTCCAATTAGAGTGACGTTGGTCACTACCAAAATATGTGTGCCACTATTGTACCCTTAAGGTTACCGTGCCATACTGATCATTAATGTGGTTCATAGACACCATAGCTACACAGGACTGTTGGTTGCCTACCTCCTTTAGAAGCTTTCATGGTGCCTTCTGGTACCATGAAAGTCCATCTTCAGGTAGGGAGCATTCCTATCAATTCAAGCACAGGGTGCTCTGGGCCATGTTTCTGAATTTTAAGTAACATGGAAAAATCATTGCTTCATAAGACTTCATAATATGCATTTAAATGTTTATAGTCCTTCTTAATATACAAAATGCATAAACTCTATTTATGTTGTAAATTAACACCATATGGCAAAATCTTTTAAGCTACTGGGGACGTTTGAAAGTGAGTTTTTTCTGGAAGTCATTAGGCAAAATCCTGAACGTATTTTTATAATGCTTCTTGTTCCTGCCCAATGCATTTCTACCTTTTTTTTCTTTTGATAAATCCTGGACAAAGATCATTTCATTTGGAACATAAATCACAGTCATTGCCACTGGAGACCAATGTTGGCCGGTGGGCTTCAGCTGTGTGTTACTTCTTATTAAAGCAGACAGGCAGGGCGTGACGTCTACAGGTGATGCTTAGTGAATCTGACTTGAGATTAGGTGTCAGAAGCTAAGCTTCCTTCTCTCTACGAATGTCGTCTGCATGTCTCCAGAAATCTGCAGACATTCTGGTTGATTACTACAATACCTAAAGTTCAAAGTACAACACAAACTGCAAACTATTCTAACATCTGTTTTGGTTTTAAGGGCAGTCAGAATGATTGTAATTTAGATATACTGGCACCACACAGTGAGGTTATTTTCAAACTCCTGTATTTTGTATATTAAAAGGGGCCTCCTTGTACTTAGACTTTGACTTATGCACAGCAAGATAGTGCTTAACTACTCAAAGCAAGAAAGGAGCAAAATCCCCAAGTAATCAATAATATCCGAAGCTTACCTTAAACATTGGCCTGCCTTGATCTTGTCTCTAGACTTTATGGCTCTCTTCCATTGTTCATTGGTACCTTAAGGCTCCATTGGAAAACCTCCTAGAAAATTCCAGAGAAGACAACAGTGAGGGTAGATGAGAAGCACAGCGGCCAGACCAAAAAAAAAAAAAAAAAAAAAAGAAAAATTATGTCCTGTGATTAAAAGTTACTGTATGTGGCCTAGGAATTATTGTTAAGTGGAAACAGGATGCATCATGAGATCAGGCCATGGAACGCTTCTGTTGATCTTTTGCAAGAGGGACACCCACTCAGCAACCTTGGGGATTTCTTCAGATAGCCCCTGTGAAGGGCCTTGCTAGCCTTCCTTGGATCCTCTGTCCAATACTGCCCACATCAGCCAGACAACACTAGGTGTCTTTTTCCCTCCAAGAAAACTTAAGTTAGCTTCATTTTTTACTGAATCCTGCAGTAGAGAGATGTGAGCTCAAAATGCAGGCCAGAGCAGTGTTATCTGATATGAAATGTCCACATATGTGGACACTGAGACGGTGCAGGGATCCATGCCTATTCCTTTGCTATATTCAATCCTATTTCATCCTGATTAAACCTGAGAGTGCCAGAGATGATGATCTGAGGAATATAAAGGTTTCATGTGTTGCTGTACAAGTGACTTAATCAGTGATGAGTTAGTGCTCAAAGCCAAATACACTTACATTCAAATGACAGCTGCCCAGCATTCCTTGGCTTTTCCTTTCTGTACTTCACTCTATGCACCACACCATATATACCACACCACATATACCACACCACATATACCACACCATATATACCAAACCATATATACCACATCACATATACCACACCATATCACACCATATATAACACATCACATATACTATACCACGTATACTATACCACATATACCACACCATATATGCCAACCATATATACCACATCACATATACCACACCATATCACACCATATATACCACATCACATATACCACACCACATATACCACATCTCTTACATCACACCGTATAGACCACACCACATACACAGTACTGTATATACACCACACACACTGCATCTCTTATAAAATACTGCACCACATTTGTACCACACCACATGGCTTTTGTTTCTGAGTAGATTTCTGTCTGGCAACTTTCTGTGTGTTCTGCTTCCTCCTGGCCTTCAGACCCGCCCCTCTGTTGCTGATCCTGCTTGGTAGACATCTGGATGCCTAATCATGTAGGCCACCAACAGGACATGTATCCCTAACAGGTTGTGACATGATCAATTATAATTTTCTTCTGAGATAAGGTGTCACTATACAGTCTGGTCTGGCATCAAATGCACTATGCAGTCCAGGCTGCTCTCAAACTCATAACCCTCCTGCATCAACCACAGAATTCTAGCTGTAGGTACACATTACCATGCTTAACTGTCTATTATCAACATATTTTATTAGACAAGATAACCTTTGACTGCAACATCTACCCTAAAGTCAGAGAATAAGATAAATACAAAAACAAATTAGTGGGATGGATGACTTACTGCAGTCAAGTTCTTAATCTATAGTAACAAGCCTTGTTCCGTAATGCTTTTTTTCCTCAGTGAAGAATAGAAGTCTTGAGATGTTTTCTTTAAAGCTTGAGATAATCCCAGTACATTTTAAAATAAAGGCTCCTTGTTAGGGTAAATAATCAGAAAACACAGTAAAACTGGCAGGTGTCCCTTTGCTTTCCAAACTTAAATTCCATATCCTTAGCACTTGACACTAAACATGTCTTGTGAGTGTCCACCACTAGGATGATTACATCTATGAAGGTGCCAGCTGATGCTACTATAAACTAAACCACCGGAAAACACTTTGCTGAACAATGTGTACACTTACATGATTTTCTTCACGAATTTAGTATATAGCTCATTTCACCTAGTTGCCTTCTTTCAGGTTAATGACATAAATGAGCCAGATTTTGAGCACAATCCAAGACATCTACACACACTCAGAAGTAAACTAAATGTGCTACAAAATGAAAACATTGGAACTGAGTGTTGCCCGTTGCTCTTATCATGGTGATGATGGTAGGCACCTGTTCATTTTTATTGACAGTTTGTCTGTGTTGGTGGGAGCCCGAACAGAATGAAGGCATTTGCACAGTTTATACACAAGGAACTCTGTTTGGAGGGAGATGGAGAAGACATTGAAGACATCTGCGCGGGGACAGACAGATACTGCATGTTCAAAACAGGCACTGTGCTCTCTCTCAGTGTAAGTTGGGGACAGCTGTAGGCCAGCTAACCTTTGAGGAATGGACATCAAACTGGGACCATCCAAACACACTTCCCTCCCCACTCTGTTGTGTCTTCTTACACAAAGAATGCAAGGGGAGGTTAATACAACTCAAAAGAGTTTTCGGGACAGGGAAGAGCATCCAGGGTCACTACCTGCCTTTATACTCACTACTTAACTATTAGGTAAGGGCAGGAGTCTTCAAGGCTCATCCCTCTTTCTATTCCTAACTGATCAACATGCTCCCCTTCCCAGCCATTTCCATTCCTCTGTTTTTTTATCCTGCTTTAGGAGCCTTGAGCTGTTCATAGAGGCCCATTCTCAAGATTGTTAGAATTTAACACAAACAAACTTGCTGAAAAGCTGCCCGTGCATTTGCACAGAGATCTTGTGATGTGTTCTGCTCTCGTTCAGAACCTGATAGCTCTTCTGGACACTGTCTAAGATGTGATGAAAGCAGAGTGATTCTCTGAGCGGTTCCCATCAACGTCAAACACTTAGGAGGGTATCTGTACACAGCCACCCATTCTGTCCATCTCAGCTTTCCAGACATGGCTATATTCTGAAGCAAAAAATCCAAGTCTGCCATGTGTTTGGATGTGGTAGTCCTCTTAAGGTACATAAGAGACACTGAGTAAGCCCTGCATAGATGTGGCAATTTTGAAAGAGTTCAGTTGTAAAATGCTCTTGATGTTAGGGAACTGTCACAACTCACTGATCCCTCAAATGATTCAGATTATTCAGTGGTAGAATGTCCCAAGAGCAGGGAATGTGGGGGAGCCAAAGAAAACATTCATAATAATACCACTGGGGCAGCGAAGCGAATCTTACAGGGCCAAGAGTGCCTGAAACCTGTTTTGGCTTCTAATAGCAGAATCCATTCACTTACTAATTTGTTCAGTCAATAAAAAATTATAGACTACCTACCTCAGAAGAAGCTAAATGTCCCCTGATATTGTTCTATTAACTCTTCAGTTAAAATCCTTTAAACAGTAATTATTTGTTCTATTTTGCATAATAAATGGAGAGAGAAAAGAAGTAACATTCACACACACACACAAAATGAAACTTCTCTAAATGATCAGAAACACTTCATCATAAGGCAAAGCCAGAGGTGATCCTGGTGTACTGTCAAGGACCATGACCCAAATGGTCAAAGCTAGCCTCTTAGAATAATAGGCAGGCAGGTGGTTTCCAATACAGACCACTTTACACATATCCAGTAGCTACAGGGAGAGAAGGAAAGAAGGGAAGGAGGGAAAGAGGGAAAGAGGATGAGAGAGAATTTTAAGAGAAACAGGAGTCTATTTGTAATTGTATCATCATATTGAAAACTAAGTGCTGATCCTCAAGTTAGCAAACTGCTGATTTTGAAAGAACCTAGTAGATAAAATAATAGCTCATCTGCTAATTTACTGTTGAAGCAAATGATAGTTTATTCATACATTCCAGAGCCAGTGCCAAGGCTCCAAACTTGGTAATCTCTAGCACATAGATCAATACAGACTTGATTCCTGGATCCAGGAGGCTTTATGAAGCTTTCAGAAATTAGGGTTTATTGGATGAGAACAAAACATGGTGATCCCAGAGTCCCACTGTTTCCACAGTTCAATATTCTTGATGACCAGAAGGAGAGGGAGCTCTGGTTGGGAAGAACATGATGGCAGCTCTAGTGGTTTTCCACAGTCTCTGTGGCCATGGATCCATACACAGACTCTGCCATCAGGTTAAAAGTGAATAGCTACTGAGAAAACTCAGTTCCAGTTTCTACAAGCTACTGTGTGGAAGGTCTTTCTGAAGATTTGTTAGACATAATGGGACCACCAGAAGTGGCTAAATCCTCTAGTCCATGTTGACTGAGCCCTGGTCTGGTGACTGTGATTGTTTTGACATAAGTGTTGAACTAAACTAGGATGCAGCCATGCTCTGTGGCAATTTAAACTTATTCACAGGTTCAACATACGTTTTGAACTCTTGAGTTGGAACTGAAACCACATTTGTCCATTAGAGTCCTTCTGAACTCACACAGAATTAACAGCAAGTGATCAAGGCTGTATTTGAACAATAAAGTTAGTTTACTATTTCACTCACTAGGGTGAAGTAAGGCTGTGTGAAATGGAAGACAAAATTATGCTTCCTCTGTTCCCTGTCAGTTATGTATGGGGTGGGATCTTCTTCTCATAAGCTCATGGAAAATAACTCCACAGGGAGATGCAAGCTGATGCTGCCCCAGCACACCTGTACTCTCTGCCATCCACCTCTGTTCTTGACAGTGAGCGGCTCAGTTTAACTGGCTGTAGGATGCCTCTCTCTAGTCCTCACAGATGGACACATCCATCAGCATGCCATGTAGGCATCACTTAGAGATGACTTACATTTTCCCAAGTGTTGGCATAGTCTTAATGATTATGTAAATTTATACAAGGGCTGTTAACTCATAAAGAAGAAAAAATATGTCTTGCTCACTTATGCGTGTGTGCGATGTATAATGACTCTCCTCTCTCTCAACAGCACGGGATGGGCATCCCCTCCATTTCTATTATGCTCCATGAACTCATCAAATTACTCCACCACGCACGCTGCTGCGATGTTACCATCATCAGGATTGGAACGTCAGGGGGAATTGGTGAGATGGATTGATTTCTACCATTAAAGCCGACTGATTCGTCATACATCCCTGTGTTAATTCAAAGTACACCAACATATTTAGAGCCCAACAGAATTCCAGATGGGCTGCAAAGTTCTGGGAGGCTGGGGCTTGAGAATTTAAAGATCTCTCTGTCTTTCGGTCTCTGTCTCTGTCTCTGTCTCTGTCTCTCTCTCTCTCTCTCACTCTGTGTGTGTGTGTCTGTGAGTATCTCTGTGTGTGTGTGTACGATTCCACTGTTGTTCAAAGAGGTTCATACAAAGAAGAGAAGAATTATTATAAAGTATGATTTTATGGTATGTTCTAGTTTGTTTCTTTGTTGCCATCAAAAGACTTTGACCAAAATCAACATGGAGAGAGCAGAGCTTATACGGCTAACAGCTCGCAGCCAGTTATTGAGGAAAGCCAAGGGACGAGCTCATGGCAGGAACGACTTCCAGGAACAGTAGCAGAGGCCTTGGAGAAGTGCTGCTAGGCCATTCTTATGGAGACAGTTCTTCAGCTGAGGCTCCCTTTTCCCAGGTGACTTCAGTTTTAGTCAAGTTGACAAAAACTAATCAGCACAAAGTAAGGGTAGGCTTTTCAGCCTGAGAAATTCTATGTGACAGGAATGGGGGTGTTCAAGTAAAGAAAATAGTAAGGATTTACCTGTTTTATCTACTCAGTATTGGACTTTATAGCTGCTAGCAAAACATTGCCTTTGGCTCATCTCAGTGGTTACACCTCTTTTCTTGGTCCCATGTTTTATTCAACTACACAGCAAAAAGGACCATGTGGGCCAGTGACTGCGTAAGTTCATCCAAGAGCTCCCCCCATACATTTCTTCAATTGTTTCTTAAGGAGTAGCTCTTATTAGGGTGTCATCTTACCATGTGACTACGTGCTAATGCAAATGCAGCATTTTAAATGAAAAGGTTTGATAGACAAATCGACAGGACCACATGGTTACATAGAAAAGGATGAGCTTCTAAAAAGACAACCACCCCAGAATTGCTTGAGTAAGCCTTTTGGAGGAAGAGGTGATCATAAAAAAAAAAAAAAAAAAACCCAAATGATTAGAGAAATGGCATGCTCACAGATGGCTCTGACTAAGATTGAGCCAGTTAGAAAGGACCACAGCCTTTCTAAATCTATGATCCAGAAACAAAGCCAGCCCAAAGCATCTTATATGCGAACAAAAAAATTTTTTTTTATTGTGGGTGCTCTTCCAAATGGAAAGGGAGAATATAGAAGCAGACAGTGTTGGCCAAACATCTTTCTAGATTGTAGTTTCCCAAATGTTCAGTTTCAGGGAACAAAGTGCCTGGGAAAGACATGGGAACCGTTATTAAGGCTGCTTGTAGTTTTCCGTTTGTAGGATACACTGATCTGCCTTCTGAGCTCACAGCTAATCATCTTGGCCTCCTGACTGCTGCAGTTGCCATTTGATAAGAGTGAGCCTCCAGCTAGTCACTCTGGTGACCATCCAAATCATGGTCATGGTCTTGTGTTTCATGATAACATGGTACAGACTACAAGAAGATTGTACCGACATCATGGAGGCCTGTAAACAGAGGCAAAGCAAGCTATTGGATTGGTGCAAACAGCTTCAGCTCAGAGTTGCATCTAAGACAGGCTCATTTGTTTGAAGCAACACTGTATTTGAAGATAGGAAATACAGATATTATTTAGTTTTTTGCTAATATGATCATTCCTTAATGGAGCAAAATAATACCTTGATAAAGGAAATATACACAATTAAAAAGAACTTTTGTCTTAGAGATACTAGGCTATACATGCTTCAATGTATCTACATTTTTAAGCCAGTATGAGGAAAACACATTTTCAACTTCTTTCTCAATGTCTTAGGGCATTCTGAACAAGGTAAGAAGCCCCCTTTTCGGGCTTACTTACAGTGTGTCTGGCCAATTAGAACCGTATTTTCAGAAGCTACTGGGATGTTTAGCATCAATTGTCAACTTGACACAACCTAGCATCTAGGATGGTCTGTGGGCATATCTGGTTGGAGATTGTCTTAATTCAGTTTGTTGATGTGGGCCTGACTATTCCCTAGGAAGGAGGCCCTGAATTGTGTAAGAGTAGGGAAATGCAGCCAAGTACATGAAGCTAGCAAGTACATGTGTACCCATTTTGTTTCCCTCTGCTCATGACTGTGAATGAGACTTACTGCTTCTAGTTCCTACTTTAACTTGCTCATGATGGTGGACTGTAAGTTGGAATTATAAACCTCATAAACCTGCTCTGTCTGCTTTTGATAGGGTTGTTATTACAACAACAGAAATTAAAGTCTGACAGCCACCTTGAGTATCTAGTGGGAAATGTAAAATGTTCCTTAATTAACTCTACTTTGGCATATTGGAATATATATGATGAACCTGAAATTAGTTTGCACTCCATAGCCAGGGTTGTTAAAAACATTTTCCTGTAAAGTGCCAGATAATAAAGGTTCTGAGCTTTGCAAACTGTGCACTTTCCGTTGCTACTTCTTAATGTCATATCGTAGCTCAGATACACCAAGGACAGTAGGTAAATGATTGTGTGGATCTTGTTGCAACAGAGCTTTGTTTACTAAGACAGGTGGCATGCAGCCTGAGGACCAGAATTTGCAGACCTGTGTGTTCTGTGGTATCTTGATAGAAGCATGCACTCACTGATTTCTATTGAACACTCAAGATGTGCTGGGTACCACACAGGCCAGGTGAGAGAGCAGTACGCTGACACTGTTCTTTATATATAGAACAGTGTCTATATAGATTGTGTTTCATCAGAGAAATAGACAAACAAATGACAGTTTTAAAAAAAAGAGTACCATTCAGATACATCTTTGCACTTGGGTTGTCAGTAGAAATTGGCATAAATCAAAAGACGGGTCCCGGAACGCCTTGGGAAATTCTCTGGACCTGTTTTTGTTACTTTTCATTTATTCATGCTCATTTTTTGGGTTCTCTCACCAACATGGCTCAGGCTTTTGGAAGGGAGTGACTCTAGCTGACACCTGAGGAACATTGGCATTAGTGTGATGAGAAGACTTCCCTAGGACAAGGACACACCCAGGCAGGGAGAGTAAGGATTGACAGGAAATGGCATCTTAATGGGCCCCAGTCCCTGGAGCAAGTCAGACTCTGCAGCAATGGAAGGGCAGCCAAGAGGCCTAATTTGCATGGAGTCAGGGAGAAAAGGGAGGGAAGAGAGGGGAGAGCTGCCAAGAAATTATAGTAATCGAGGAGTTTGTAGGAAGATTAAATATCAAGAAGTCATATCACTTTATGAAAGCTACTTGCTGGCAGGCTCATTTACTTTATTCCTGACCTAATTTATTCAAATTTGAGCCTGAAGGCTGGCACTAATTTGCATGTCCAAGAGTCTTGTTTGTCTTGAAACCTAAACCCCACCACACAGTAAATGCGAATCTGTAAAGACAGCCAATGAGAATGCTTGTTCTAAAGGTTATTCCAATGCACTTAGGAAAAACATTTTTAAAGATGGAAGCAGGAGGAATCATTAACAAACAGCATTAATTAATGTTGACAGAATAGGTCGCATACTACACGACCCAAAAGTCAACTCAAAGCAATCTTCTGGGAATCACTTATTTGTTCCACATTGCAGGGATTGCACCAGGGTCTGTTGTAATAACAGATACAGCTGTAGACTCCTTCTTCAAGCCTCGGTTTGAGCAGATCATCTTGGATAACGTGGTCACCCGAAGCACTGAGCTTGACAAAGAACTGGCTAACGATTTGTTCAACTGTAGCAGAGAAATCTCCAACTTTCCAACCCTCATCGGACACACGATGTGTACCTACGACTTTTATGAAGGTGAGAATTGTTTGCACACCAGGAAAGCAGTAGGAAAACACCAGCCGCTTGTTATACAAACCCACGATTTATATTAAAACTGCACGCTAGCAAATTAATAGTGTGGATTTTCAAGGGGAAGCAAATAGCCTTTTTACTTACTAAAGCATGGTAACATAAGGGCTTAATAAGCAGCTGAGAAACATGCAGAGTGACTTTATATTGAGAATGGGTTTAATCCTATATCAATCTGAATACTGAAATGGCAATTAGTGATATTGACAGCATCTTCTCTCTGCCTGTGACTTTTCACTTAAATTGCTGACTTTAAGAAAGAGGAATATGCTGGTTCTATGCCTTTGTCATTCTTCTGAACTCCAGGCAAGAAAGACTAGGAAATGGAGAGAACTGTTTAATTAGAGAAACCCTATGGGGATGTGGTTGTCTCAGAGTGGGACTTTTAGCCTACAGTCAAGAGTAAACGGTCTCTGCACCTATTGTAGAGTTAAGTTGAAGGTCACTATCAAATAGCAGCTCTTGTTCCAAGAGATGACGCAAGGCAAAGGAAAAACAGGACAAAGCAATCTCCAAGGATTCTGCTCATTACAGAAAAATTTGCATTGTCTTGATCCCATGGTATTTCACAGTAAATCTTGTGCTGAGGTTATGTTTATATAAACATTATAGTTAATGTTAAGATATCATTGCCAACTTCTACCTTTCTCTCTATCAAAGTTTACATATTACTTTTAAAAATCACTCATGGAGATAGACTGTATTCTGTTTGCATTTGTTCAGGTTAGTAAAGTTGTTGGAGGTGTTTACACAACAGGCAGCAGGGTGGTAGATGGACAGGGTGAGACTGTTCTAGGACATCAACTCTTAGGCCCTTCATTTAGAGCATCACCTACCCGTGTGTTTATGTCACAGCTCATTAGCAGAAGCCTGTAGAGTCAGTGTTTCCATTGGCCTGTGAGATACTGTTTCAAATATGAAACATTTTGCCAACCTTTGTAATTTCTAGAGCTTTCCATACAAATATCCAGATTTTTGGCTCTCTGACATAACATAAAGTAGCATTAAAAAGTGCAAAATAGTTGATGCATGACAGACCTGGAAAGACCTGGCCCATATCTGGGACTACTTATGTTAGGGCTAGGTGACTCCTATCTGATTGCATAGACCCTCACATTCACGTTACCAGGGCCTCTGAGCCAACCAAGTTTGACTCAGCCTCAATAATGCAGAGGTGTTGGCAGGCAGCACTAAAGAGGAGAGAACAGGGGAAATCTGGTTGCCAGGATGGAAGCCACAGGGAACAGGAGCAAAGGAAAGGAAGGACTTCCTTCGGGAAGGACTGTGCAAGTAACGGAGGGCCACTGACTTCCATCCCTGCACTGCTGGGTGCAGAAGGTTGGGATTCACACACTGTGAAGGGGGAACATCAGATTGTTCTCCACCTCTTTCTGTGCCCACTGGTTAACCCAGTGAAATTAAGCCAGGCAGAAGTAATAAGAATAATCTAGATGGGAAAACCTGAGTGAAGGGGTAGCAAGAAGCCTGAGAGGTGTGCACAGGACACAGCACACACCAGTTGCCTATGTCTGGTCATGGTGGTCGTAGGGAGAGTGGCAGTATCCAAACCATTTGCCTCCAGAGCATCACTGAGGTATGGGACCTTTCTCCCCTGGTGTCTCCACATGGCCTGTGCCCCTGCCACTGAGCCAGCTGAGGTTCTCCTCAAAAGACAACTTTCTCTGTGACCCCATTTCCTGATGTCCCTACTGTCCTTCAGAACTGGGGCACTCTGGTACAGACACTCTCCACTGTGCATGAGATGTGAGTCAGGTGCAGCTGTATTCTATAGTCCTTCGGAGGAAAGACTCCACAGCCAGGTCCCCAGAGGAGGCTCACTCAAGAGGTGGGAACATAAGCAGACAGCCTTCTGAGGATGCTACTGCCACTGAGGTGTGACAGCAGTCACTAAATCACTCCATTCTCTTTCAGGCCAAGGTCGCCTCGATGGAGCGTTATGCTCCTTTTCGAGAGAGAAAAAGCTAGATTACTTGAAGAGAGCATACAGAGCGGGAGTCAGGAACATCGAAATGGAATCGACGGTGTTTGCAGCCATGTGTGGACTGTGTGGCCTGAGAGGTAAATGTCTTGTGAGTTCTAAAGGCCTCTTCCCCTCTTTCACACAGGTAACTTACATTCATTCTTCACGAGAAAGAAAGGAGGGGCCCCAAACAAATTTTATTTTGTATCGAACACATGTCTTACAATTATCCATATTAGACATTATCTTATAGAGATTTGTGAGCAGGTGGGACACTGCTCCCATCAGGATATGAGAAAACGAAGCTCAAGGATCAAAGCTCCAAGGGCACCTGCTGGTTGATGACATAGCAAGGACTCAGTTGCAAGTTCATTGTTCTCTATCTCGGTAGTGGGTGCTCTTTTTTTTTCTCTTTTTAAAATCATAATTGAATTTGCTGAGACAGGATGCAAATGAGAGATTCCTAAAATAGACTATCAGTCATAATTTTAATTAGCGTGGTCAGGAAAAGGTAGGAGGAGAAGGTACCGTTTGGGAAAGGGCACATGGAAACCTGGAAGGCACGTTCTGGGACGTGGAAATGTAAAGCTAAATATACCCGGAGGATGCAGGTGTGCTGCAGGAACAGGTGGGGATGAGAGTGGGGAGAGTGGGGGGAGAAATGTGGGGCGTGAGGGAGGGGGAAGGGCAGGTTGCACCGCTAAAACTTTGACTCTCTGTCTGGAAGTTGGAAGGTCCTGGAGAACTCTGACTAAATAAGCTTCGGTCGACTTTCTCTGAAGGCCAAGTTGGGAAGAAGGTAATAGGAATAGAGCAGAAGTGAGAAGGAGATTAAGGGGCCAAAGGCAGCAGTCTAGCAAAGCAGGAAAGGCCACAGTGGTAGCAGAGAGCAGTGAGGTACAGTCACACTCCACACAGTTCAAAGCAGAAACCCAACGAGACTTGCTGACAGTTCCATGTGAGCTTTAGGAGAAAGGGAGGATACCCCAAAGAGTGAGCTTATCACACCTGGGACAGACATGTTTAGGTGAGGATTTGGTGGTTGTGACGTGCAGACGGGGGTCAGGTGAGCAGTTGGACATAAGACTCTGGGGCTCTGATGAAGGGTTTGGACTCGGGGAATAAGCTTGTATGTTGATAGTACAAGGTGGCATTTGAAGCCCATACAGTAGATGAGGTACAAAGAACATGACATAGACAGAAAGAGATCGAAGGTAAAAGTTAGGAAGATGAAGAAGACCAAGGGAGAGTGACCAGTGATGCCACCAGTACACCAGGAAGGTATTCTCTGCTACCCAGAGGACAAAAACGTCACAGAAAGAATCCTGATTTCTAACATCCATCCTAACAGCCAATCCACTTCCTTTTATGTATGTAATAAATGCTGTGCTTGTGGTATCATGTCTAAGAATACATGTTGGGATTAGATAGAGTTCATAGAACACTATTTTTTTCTCAACTTTTCTTTTTTTTTTTTCTCAAATCGTAATTAATTCACACAGGGGTTATAAACACAGAAAGGCAGGATGTGGGGAAGGGGATGACACCGGAGCGTGGTTGTTCAGGGGGAGTATTGATACCTTTCAGAACAGGGTATCGGCTGGGTGAAGGTTCAGGGGACAGGTCACTATGACTCTGCCTATGACTCGCTTGTCCTTATCTAAGTTGGTATTGTCTGCCTAGGCTACCTATTTACAAGGTCTATGACTACTCAGGCTGGTAAATTTCCACAAAAGCTGCCTGTTTACAATAGCTTATAGCCATCTGTTTCAATGTTTTTCCACAGAGACCCAAGACTTGGTGTTAGTATACATGTATGACAGGCCTATTGCTGATTTTAGGCCTATGGCTGATTTTAGGGCTTCAGTGTGTAAGTAGGGCTGCCCCTGACATCTCCTCCCTTCTCTAAGTATAGAAGGGCTGTGGCAATTCTAATCTTGCGAAGGCGGGGATAGAGGCCTGACCTCCAGTATTTGAAGGGGACCTTGTAATAGCTCCAGTCCCCCTGTCGTTGTCCAGTGAGGCATGAGGGCCATACCCGAGGGACACTATTTTTAACCACTCAGGATACATGTGCGCGACAGACTGTACTACCTGGTGAAGAACCACAAATTCCGCCTTGTGCTGTTTAGATTTTCTGCTTTTATGTGTATGTGTATGTGCGTGACGTGCACATTTGCATGTGTTTGGGCGCATATGTATGAGTCTGCATGCCATGGGGAAGCTGAAGGTCAGGAATCATCCTCATTGGCTCTTCTACCTCAACCAACCCCAAGCTTAATGGCACGGCTTGGTCCTGCTGGCTAGCCTGCTCTGGAGAATACTTTTTCTCTGTTTTTGGAGGCTACAATTTCAGGCAGGTCTACATACACCCTTACTAGGCATTTAGTTAGGTTTGCATAGCAAGTGCTTTGACCACTGAGCCATCTTCCCAGACACCATCCCCATGCTTTTTGTTTGTTTGCAAACTCATCGTGAATGCACACTTTCAGAGAAACTATAACCCTAACCAATGAGCAAGAATGGGGCGGTTTGACCTTGCTTGAGCCGCAATGAAAAAAAATTCTGCTCCAAGAAAGGCTTTCTGAGGTTTCCCTATTATCAAAATAGTGACCACTTGAGTCACATCTCTGCTAAAATGTAAATGAGCAGATTTTGGTAACCAGTATAGTCATATATCAAATGCTGAGCCGATAGGCTGCCAGGTATAAGTGTGGTGATGACCATGAATTCCTTCTGTAAAAGTTATCTGTTGGTCCCCAGGGAATACTGTAGGCTTGTGAATCCTGGGTATCGTCTTTGTCTTTTGAGAATCCTTTGGTGACTGGAGGGAAGTCACTCTCTTAAGAGAGCCTTTCTGTCTTGTGGCAGATCTCACGACCTCATTCTTACCTGCACCTGCATATATCCCTGCTTCACAACTTGCCTTCCTTGATCTTTCTACAGCGTTCTGTTCTCACTGCTGCTGCTGCTGGAGCTTCTGGCTGCTGGACGCAGGTCTCTCTCTCTCTCTCTCTCTCTCTTTCTCTCTCTCTCTCTCTCTCTCTTTCTCTCTCTCTCTCTCTCTCTTCCAAGTCACTGCTGCAATCTCCATTTCATCACGCAGACCCCTTTCAGCTGCCAACACATACACCAAGGGCTCCACTCTGCAGCTCTGTAGCTCATCCAAGTATTACTGTGCGAATTTCTTCACAGTCACAAGGACTGTTAATCTTCTCCCAAGACATCATTGTTTTAAAATGTGGATTTCTAGCAGGTTGGCCCTGGAAGATCAACTCTCAGGGGCCAGACAAAGGCCCAAGGACAGGTTGCTATCTTGTCTTCATCTTTCATGGTTACTTCATAATATTTTCCCCTCATCCCTTCCCGGTGGTAAAGCTTGGACTCTGGCAAACAACCTTTAACTTTAGCCCATTTACTGTCTCACTCGGTGTGAGCCAGGAAAGCTTTGGGGGAAGGGCTGAGGGTGCAATCACACTCCGATGTTCTAGCAGAAAAATCAGGAAGGACATGAATGACAAGCAGCGTGGAGATGTTTCACTTGGCCCCAAAGTCCAGGATCCATGGGTTTCCATCTCACAAGACCTGACTACCCTCCACAGTACTAACCCATCCCACCCTACTCTCAAGGCTGCATTCTCTGGTGGCCATTTCTATCTTTTTATACTACTAAACAGCGAACAATCAACATGAATTCACACCCATGTGAAAACTCACACAGTTTCTGCCTTGGGATAACTTTCGTCCTGCATTAACCCTGCTCCTCTAGAAACCACAGTCTAACTCAGACACAGAGTTAGGACCCTTGCAGAGACAGTCATTCTACATCCACCTGGCCCGGGGAGGGTCTGTGTCCGTGTAGCTCAGCTCTCATCTTCACAATGAACATAAGACTTGCCTCTCAGGGGATCACTGTATGACTACACAAACCCAATCACTCATATTTACATCATGTATTTGGCTTCTATGTTGCATATCCAACACTGTTATCTTTATTTCCGGTTTGTTTATATATTAACTTATGTATTGCTTTATATAATGCGTGCTCTACTATGCTTTCTGTTGCTGGGAGACAACATTCTGACAAAAAGCAACTAGAGGAGGAAAGAGTTTATCTAGATGGCTTGCACTTCCACACCAAAGTTCGTCATTGAGGGGAGTCAGGCCCTGTGATGCTTACTGGGTTGCACCCCCTGGCTGGTTCAGCCTGTTTTCTTATACAGCCAAGGACCACCTGCTTATAGATGGTACTGCCTACAGTGAGCTGGGCTCTCCTACATCAACCAATAATCAAGAAAATGCTTCATAGGCATGCCATAGGCCAATGTGATGGAGACAATCTCTCTGCTGAGGGTTCCTCTTCCCACCTGACTCTTTTGTTTCAAGTGACAAAAACTGAAACAACACAGTACATACGGGTGAGCCTTGATTCTCTCTCCATTGTGATGTGGCTCCAGAAGAACAGGGACCTTGCTGTTGCTTCCTGTCCAGCACCTAGAATAATGCCTGCCATATGGGAACTCAGTAACTATTGGACGAGCGAATGAATGTAAAGAACGGTGATCAGACTATACTTGACCCTGGAAAATGGCCATAGAAAACTAGATCCTTCATTGTCGGGTCACATGAGTGGTTCAGAATTGTCTGAAGGATGGGAGCCAAGAGTACCTCTTGCTGTTAGATTTATGCAACCCTGCAGTCCCAGAGTCTGCTGTTATTTGTAGGTGAGCAAACTGCCTGGAATAGGGCCACCAATAGCCATCTGTCGCTACTGTTCTTTTGCTCATTGTCCCCAACAAATGTATTAGGGGTCCAGCATCACCTTAATAAAGATCTGGGTAAGGAAATAGTGACCATTAAGTCACCCCACATCAGAAAGCTGTACCTTGAGAACAGTGCAAAACTGGACAGCAGAAAAAGCAACATGGTGCCTAGTAGGTACATCTGTGATGTGACTATCCCTGTCTTACAGTGAAATTTACTTCAGTTAAGCCCCTAGCTTCTGACCAAAGATGATGACTGTCTCAGGCTGTGAACTTGTGATAAATATATTCAGCCTGTATCTAGTTTTTATAGATAGAACTGCCATTTGACACAA